TAAGTAGATAATAACGGAAGATTTACTAAATATTTATATTCACAATGATATAAATGTTTATATCTATAGACGGAAGCCCAAATAATAAGAGGAAGCCCAATAGAAATAATACCCAAATAACGAAGCGTAATGAAATAAACGAAACCATATTCAATAACCAAACCGATAGCAGGTATTGAATAACCGAAACCGATGGCATAACCCTAGTAATCAACCACCCACAGATCGATGAAAAGCCGCCACGTAAGATAACTTACTTCATATATAATAAAATAGATACGATTTACTACATACTTAAAAGACAATTAGTTATTAAATATTAATTAAAATTATTTGTAAAACTCATTCACTTCATTAACTTCTTTTCTCTCAAAAGTTAAAACCGCCACATGCAAACTATTAATTCCAAAAGTTAAAATCTAATATTTTTAAATCAATATTAATTCCGAACAAATAAAAACAGAAAAGATTGCATTAGCAAAAAGGTTTGATAGAAAAAGGTTTGATAGAAAGTGATGTTTTTTACTCTTTGTTGAAAAATATTCACGAAATGAAACAAAGCCATAAAAGAAAGGTCAGATTTAGAAACTCAAAACGTAATATAACTGTACAAGAATTTTTATCTTGAGGAATGGAAAGAGGATTTCTAATCTCGTGGAGTGGAGGAGCATCATTAGTACCATCACCAGTGACAGCAACAACATTTCCATTTTTCCGTAGTGCTTCATCAGGAGAGGCCCTACCCATCATCTGCATTTGACCCCAATTTAGTATTTGAAATAGCAGCACTAAGGCCACATGGTGGTTGGCTGTTTAACGATCACACCCTTATTCTCTTTGGCTACTTACTTGTTCTCTCTCTTTTTCAGATAGCTCATGGAACGCTTTTCCTTCAATGATAGTAGGCACAACGGCTCCTGTATCTGAAGCAAGTATACCACACTCCAAAGCAATTGCTTTTGCTGTCTCCAGTCACCGCCATTCGTACCTAGAGAACACAAATGTTTCATTTGTAAATGTTACAGATGGGATGAGCAGCTATATCATGAACAAGATGATGATTATGCGTCATATCGCTACAGCATTTCACTGCTATTATAGATGCTGCATAAGCCAACAATCGAAAAATATAGCAGCAACAAAATAGACAAAGAGGAGCACGATCATTTCAGGTAATCATCTATAGCCAACTGCTGTAAAGTTCGAAAAGGCTAGGAGCCTACCTTAATACCAGCACTGGTGCAAATTCTCACTGCTTCACAGGACGACAAGGATCTTATAATAGAGTAAAATATTTGCCAAAAGAACAAAAAGCAAGAAAAATCAAAATCTTAGGAAGAAAGGAAAACTGACACATAGTGAACACATAAAAACAAACTTCAAGCTACCATATAAAAGCTTTCAGAATGCCTACCTCTATACCAACGGTAGCGAGCAAAGTCAACTTATCTTCTGGTAAATCCCATTTATCCAAGTACTCCTATTCTTTGGGAATTTTGTTCAGTTCATGTGTTTTAAATGCAATAGCAACACATTGAAAGATAATTTTTGCCATGGCATCAATAGCAAGTCTGAAAAAATCTTGTAATTTTTTTTTTTTCCCAAACACGGATGATTTTCATATTTGAGATGAGAGGTATAGTATAGGCTAATGTTTAGTCGTCCTAGGCTTAAAGAGTGTGTCCTTCAAGTCAAACTTTAACCATTTTTATTTATTTTGATACCAGTCCCTTGTCCTAATTTATTCTCAAAAACCAATAAGATGCTAAGAGAGATTGTCACCTAACCTTTGTAATTGTCAATGGGCTGCAGAGTACCATTTGAGACAATGCATTGTGTACAACAAACCAGAACTATCTCCGCTGCTCCCTTCCAATGAATGAAAACGTCAGAATCACCCTGCAGTGTGGCGATGAGAATTACTGAAAAGTCAGCAGAACATAGATGGGCACTTATAAGTGAATTAGGGAATTAGCAACTCATAATTGGATCAAGAAATTGCTCACCTCCACGCTTTTTCTCTGAATTGAAAGTGAAAGCATGGATGATATAGCAGACTCCGACCTGATGGTATCAAACTTCATCCCCAACTGCAACAATGGCTTCTTAAATATATTGCCCATACTTAGGAAAGATATGTCAAAGACGGACCAGCGTAAATTTGATACCTTATACGCCCAAGACAGAATAGTCTTCTCTGTGGGAGATCTCTACCTCTCCACCATCCTATGTTTGAGATCTCTACCAAGTATCTAATTTTTACAATCTTTTCATATAGATAAAGATATCTAATTCCCAACAGCCATACCGAAAATGAACAAAAAACCCTTCCGGTGAGAAAGCTTCCAAGCTTAACTCTGTCGGAAAAAGCACTCCGGTGAAGTTATAGAACGCGTGAGGATTGCTTCCACCCCTCCCGTCACGGAGGAGGATCGCCGTGGAGTTTACCGCTTCAAGATTCTGCAACGGTAATAGCACGGCTGAGCCAGTGCTCGGATAGCTCCTCGGATCACCACCAGGAATCGCCGGGAATGTTTCACCACTGTATTTTAAATCGAAGTCAGAGAAATATCGCTCGGTAATTAGCGAATACAAATATATTACCATCAGACATCAGTGTTGAGAAAAACGTAAGAATATC